TCTTGATTTGCATATTTATGATTTTTTGTGTTTAAATTTATAGGTTAAATTGTTGTAATTGCCTTGTGATTGGCCACTATTTTTTTTTCCCGACAGTTGGGTGCTCTTCTTCAACTAGGTTTTAATCGAATTGATATTCTTAATTCTTAATATGGTTGTAAAAGACATAAATATCTCAGAGGATAGTGAGTGCAAAATTTCTATTTCTCTCGGGAAGCTATTCAAAAAGATGGAGACAATGTATGTTGTTTATCTCCAACGCTAACATTTATGTCGGATTCATGATGTATACATGTTGATAAATGAAGTTGACGTCCAAAGAATGAAACAAGATTGTTAGAAGGAAAACATACTCAGAGTGGCATTAGGGTTCATGTTTGGCCAAATACCTAATATATAAAGGTACGTAAAATGGAGGAGTGTCCCCTTATTTTAACTCAAGGGACCACAGTGGCACAGTGCTAACCTGAGATGCAATGTGCCTGCCTGGGAGGGTATTATGTTCAAATTGATATTTTACTCAAAAGATGGAACCATTTTACTCGAGAAATTTTTGTGTGATTTTAATACATCACATCAAAAATTACACGTGCTCAATGAATGATTGACACTTATTACTTTATCATAATTTTTTTTCTAGATATTCAACTTATGTGTTCCACAAGTTGTTTTGTGTCGGTCTTTTATTCGGGTTAACACTACGTAACACTATCAAAAGATGTGTTAAACTTATACAAAATTTCTCGATTTACTCACACTATCAAGTTAATTCAAACATTGATTACTTGTCAGGTTCACTATTAATTAACTCATGAGCCCTCGCAGTTTATTTCCTAAATATTCACTTCCAGCTTTTACATGATTCAGTCTGCAAGTTTACTATTTTAGCAAACCCAAATTTAACATGGTGGTCCCATGACTTAAAAGCACATATTCTTCTTCATTCATTTATACACACCAACCCACATATTTTGTCTATAAAAGGGGACTATATTTCTTTTAAATTCATCTACCACCTCACTTTTTTCTTATCAATTTTTTTTCAATAACCTTTTGGCTTCGTAGATTGAGAGGAAAGGGGAAGGTTTTTTCTTTGGTTTTTAAACGGTTATTGGATTGTTGATTTGCCTCTTGGTAACAGAAAACTAGCAGATTTGTTATTTTCTTTTCTTTCATATACCTTTGCCGGAACCAAAGAAAGAATAGGAGAGCAGCATTTTTGCTACGTTTTGAGGATGTTCATGTTGCTCTTTGCATAGATTGCAGTATCCATTAAAGTTGTGGTGGGGCTCATGTTGCTATTTGCACAAAGAGGTAGATGAATGTAAAAGACAGCATGAGCGTCCCACGAATTTAACAGATATTGCAATATATCAAAAAAAAAACATTGCACACAAAGTTGTTCAATACTTGCTGAAGAATGTTTAAAAACAATGTGCCTATAAAATGGGGGTTTTGGATGTCTATACATTCAGCCGCCACCTCACTTCTTTCTCAGTGATTTTCTTTTTGCATAACCACTTCTCTTTGAAGACCAACATGGAAGCAGCTGAGCAGCAAGAGCATCATCACGACTTTAATGGATTCAGCAACATTTGCAAAAAAAAACCGGTGCCCACAAACCAAGCAGTGCAACGCCAAAAGATGATGCTTCGAGAGGCGAAGTTTATCTGTTGCATTGGTACTTGCCGAAGGAGGTTCAAAAAATAAAGCGGAGGTCTCCATGCATTGGGACAGAATCACTAAGAACAACAAAGCTTGTCAACCCAAGGGAGGAGTTAGATGGTGTTATATTTTGAATTTACTATTTACCATTTAGTGTGGGTGTGCTTTTCTGAAATTTCTTCCCTTTCATTTTTCTCTTTCTGTGTGGTAAGTTCTTCCATGTGGTGTCTTCTATCTATTTAGTGAACTTTTAATTTACCTGTAAACTTGGGACTTGACAAGCAACCAATACTCCTTCCAAATTGACTCCTTCTAGAAGGAGTAGGAGAGCAACAAATGGAAAACGGGCAGCAAGGAGGAGGGGAGCAGAGCACCATCAGCACCCTTGCAACTTTAATGGATTTTGCAATATGTAGCGAAAGGATGATCACCCCCAAAAAGTTGTCTACATTATGGAGTCATAGGAATGCTGGGTATATATGTCTGCTTGTTATTTGTCAGAGAAGGTTTACAAACCAAGCTGATCTCATGGTACATCTTGCCAGAAACACTCACCACTAAAATATCGTAGCAAATCTCACCATAAAAGTTATTATGACTTCACTCGTGGACCATCAAAAAGCAGCACATCGAAAATGCAAGGCACATATGTCCTATTGGCAAAGAAGTTTTACAAACCAAGCAGATGTGTTGATGCATCTTGATAGAAACAACCGCCACTAAGAAATCAGACCAAAACTCACCAAGCCAAGGGTGAAGTGTATCTGGTTCGTGCTGTTTATGTTTCAGTGAGGGTGTGATTATGTCATTTTTTTTTTTTCAGAAGGTAAAATGTATTAAAATAGAAACAAGGGTAATCACCCACAAAATGTATAATAAAGTCACATAGGACTCAAAGACAAAGATCAAAAAAATTCAAAAGCCAAGGCTCAAAACACAGGTCTGTAAGAAAAGTCTTGAGTAAGAGCATCTCCCACAGACATGTTGACAAAAGCATACAATGGTAGACACAACAAAGCATGAAACCAATTCATCAAATAGCCAGTACACAGGGAGGTTCCAACTATGCAGTACCTCCACGCTCCAACAAGAGGGATCTACTCCCAAAACTTTGCCTGTAGCTTTCTTGCAAGTAGCTGTTGTGTACCTCCTCGCTCCAGCAGGTGATGCTCCTCAGTAGCATCCAATCACAAAGGAACAAAGGACTGGAACAGGGGACGGCTATTCAGATTAGAGGACTGGATCAAGTTCTGCTTCACCAACACTTGCGTGTAGCATACTTGCAAGTACAGCAGCTTTTGCCTCAAGCATTCTGCATCCCATTGCCAAAGCATGAATCCAGACACAAAGGAATAGAGAAGACAAAAGGCCACCATGAACAGGGGATTGCTATACAGAAAGTTTCATGGGTTAAGACAATGGGTTGGTAATTGCCACTGTTGAGCCACTTGTTGATTCTGATAGGAGTACCTAAACTTCAAGGACATCATCCTTTCCCTAATGATTTGCAAAATGCTGTACAAGGTTGATTCAAGATCTTTAAATTCATCCCTAAACAACCTGCTATTTCTTTCTCTCCATAGGCAGTACACTGGCTTGAAGGCTCAATTTCTGCAACACTGTCAAAACTGATTTGTCTTCCCAATGCTGAGAAGCCCAAGCAATAAACACCAACCATGTCTCAAAGAAAAGGTCGACATGTGTTTCAGTAGCCCCTCTGCACAAAATGCAGTTCGTACTCACGCTAGGATTAAAAATCCTATCCTTAGTACCGAGTCTTTCATAAACAGCCAATTATAATATGAAACTCATTCTGGGAACTGCTTTTGTGAACCAAACTAGTTTAAACCATGGCACTTTTGGGTTTGGGTTCCTAATAAGTTCCCAAGCAGATGCAGCAGAAAACTTGTCATTGACAGAAGGAGCCCACTTGACACTATCCACTTCGGCCTGGTTTGGGCCATAGGAAGGCATAGTACTTGATATATCACATAAATCAACTGTTGGAGATTGCGGCCACTGCCACTGGTTGTTACATATAATACTGCTCACTTTAGCATCCTGTGATAAACCAGAATCAACAATAATTCTATGGTTCCAATTCAAAATAAGAGGTCCTCTTGGGTGCCAATTGTCACACCATAGACTTGTCATCTCTCCATTCCAGTTTATGGATCAAGTGAGGTCTAATCCAGTTTCTCAACTTTAACATATTCTGCCAATTCCATGAACTGCTGCTTGATGGTCTTACCTCCCAAAGGGTTCTCCCCTTCAAGTGGTAAGTGTGAATCCATTTGGCCCAGATGTTCTATTTGTCCTCAAAGAGAATCCATAAATGCCTCAACATGAGAGCTGCATTCCAAACTTTCAAGCATTTAATACCTAGACCTCCTTCTTGCTTTGGCTTACACACATCTTTCCAAGCAATTCTGGCCCCAATAGTTTTAAGATCAACCCCCTTCCATAAAAAAACCCACATGATTTGTTCAACTCTATCCAAAAATTGTTGTGGTAAGATGAGGTGAGCTGCCCAGTAGATATGCATGCTAGAAAGGACAGAGATGATGAGTTACAACCTGCCTACATAAGATACCCTTCACTCTACTTTCAATTTTCTCAATGAGGGCTATGCAGTGTGTGGTTTTCAATCTAGTAAAGATGAGAGGCACTCCAAGGTATTTGATAGGGAGGCAGCCCATAGGGAAACCAAAAATTAACTTGATTTGCTTCATATCTTGTGGTTGGATTACTGCCATGAACATATTACTTTTGGTAGGATTGGCTTGTAGACCAAACACCCACTTGTAGACCAGAACAGATTAATTGTTCACATGTTCCCATTGTCCAAACACATTTCTCATAGCCATATCGTTATTAATACTTCTAATCTTGGTTCCCATAAGACTTAATAAATCCAAGTGTTGATACCTGATCAATTTCCTAACTTCTCCCTACTTCTAGGTTTTATTCAACCCTCACATTCCAACAAGAAACTTTTAACATAATAGTAGAGGTTTTTTGGTTTTGAGGTGCTCCAACACCTTTCTTTTCCCCTGTTTATTGCCTTTCTTCTTTACCACCTTCTTTTTATGTTCTCCCTTAGGCATATTCTCCACCTCTAGTTTGTGCCCAATGGATTCAACCTCCATTACTTGTCTCTTGATAATAGCAACATCACCATTATTAGTACCAAGGGCTGGGGATAAATCCACAACAACTTCAACTCCTTCCAAATTTAAGATTTCAAATTTGTTAGAGGACTGAATTGGCTTAGCAGACTGTTATGCATGATTTTTATCACTCACAATAATAGCAGTGATAATGTTAGTAGTTACCTAGGTATCATCTTGTGACCCATTTGAGCTCTGGTTTGTAACTGACCTGTCTGCACTACTACTGCTAGCAACCGTATTTCCCACTTGAGGTATGATTTTTCTAAACTGTGGAACCCCTATGGATCCTCCCACACCCCTCATCGGCGTTATAATGACTTTTCCCTTATCCCTGCTAGTATTAGTATTCATGTCTGGCTTAGTCTGAGAAGATTGATATGCTCCTTTTTGTGAACAATAACCTTCTTTGGGACCAAACACTTTACAAGAATGACAAACACTAGGCTTCCACTGATACTCCACCTTTATTTCCACTGTCTCTGTTTGTCTTCCAAATCCATACTCAAATCAAACGCTTCCACAAGATTGGCATCTTCACTCACCTCAATGCAGACCTTTGCAAAGTTAAGCCTCTTTTTGTTGGTAGTTATGGTGTCAATATATAAAGGGGTACCAACTGCACTAGTTATATGGCTAAGGCCATCCTCACTCCAAAATTGCAGTGGAATATTATATAACTTGACCCAAAGAGGAATGGTAGAGTGATTCTCTTTGGTAAATAACAGGTCAGGGGTCCATTTCTTCAAAATGAGTAGCCTCCCTAAGAATAACCAAGGGCCAGCCTCAAACACCTTAGTTTGGGATTCCTCATCCATGAATTTAAAATAGTAAAATCCATTCCCATTTGCAAGAACCTCCAACAAACCCATCCTATCCCAAACCTTGTGAGCAATGAAGGTAATTGTGGAATAGGGTAGCTTCCTCTCTATAAAATACCCCACCAGGCAGTTTTGCCACTCAGGGCATCCTTGTTTTTCGATTTCTGATGGTGGCTTGACAACAATTCTATCATTTTCTTTGCAAGGTTTGAAATACTTTAACCTCATGATTTGTTGTTTTCCCCCATTAGCTAGGTTTCCTTCTTGGGGATTACCTCCTCTGCCTACCTTCACAACTTGGCTCTACTACCCCTTGGGTGGACCTTGTCTCTGTTGCCTATTACTTGCTAGTGTAGGAGCCTCTCTATGTAGGTCTAACTGGGCTATGGCTTTGGATTTCCCTTTGCTAATAGAAGCTTGTGCTTTACCCTCGAGGTTAGTATCAGCTTCATTAATTTGGTTGTGGGTTGCCCCTTTTTGTTTCCCAATCTGCCCTTGGGCCTTCGAAGCTGCTTCTTCACCAGACATCAAGGAGGGGTTAATGTCTTGGTTTTCGTTTGGACTAAGTGACTGATTGAGTGATTCCGTTAGTAAAGTGAGCTAACAAATGGGTTAGTTAATGGGTGAGTAGAGAAGGAAAATTGGTTGGGTGAGGCATTAATGTAAATAGGTGTTAGATCGAACGATTTGGGTAGATATCTGGAGGTGGGTGAAGTAACGAAGAAAGGGATATGGTGTTGAGTCAGTTGATATAAGGATGCTTGTGTCAGAAGTGAGAAGGGCAGTGGGATGTATTAGGGCAACGTGAGAAATAATGGAGGTGGGTAGGCAGTCGAAAACAAAGGATAGGGGAAACAATGAAGAAGAGATAAGAGATGGGTGCAAGGATGTCTCAAAAATGGTGGATCTGGTTCAAGCTGGGAGAGACGAAAAAAGCAGAGGAACCATCCTTAGATCTCTTGTTTTTACCTTGTCTTAGTCGTTGTTAAGGATTATGTCATTTCTTTAGTGTTAGTATGGCGTTTCCTATCTATTTTAATTACTTTTAACTTAGTGTTCAACCTGGGCCCTTGGCAGTAAGGGTGTCAATCGTATCGGGTTAAACGGTTACGTGTCGGGTTAAACAGATGACTGATAAAAAACGTATAAACCCATACACGACACATTTAATAAACGGATAAAAAATCTCAACACAAATATGACCCGTTTAATAAACGGGTAACACGACGACTTGTTTAACCCGTTTCATTTTAAAAAAATTATATCAACAAATTTTAATACTCCATTTTTTTACTATTAATTGCACTTACCTCAAAAAAGAGGAATTTTAAATCAAATTTTATAAAAATAAAACTTTATCACTTTAAAAAAAGAAGTAAGAGGCTATTGTCTTTTATAGGCAACTCACCCTCCCCATCTCCCCTTATTTTCCAATGTGGGATAAAAACAAAATACATTAATTTGCCTTTGTCTTTGAAGTGCTCTATAACTTCTCTCATTTGTCTTTGAAAAATTAGACTTGAAGGCTTTAAAAATAAAAGTAAGAGGTCATTGTTTTTTATAGGCAACTCAGTCTTCCCCATCTCCCCTCATTTTCTAATGTGGGACAAAAATAAAAGATATTTGTTTGTCTTTGCCTTTGAAGTGCTCTCCAATTATTCTCATTTGTCATTGAACTACTACTTTACTCATTTTTTTATTAATTTATTTACTTCTTTTTTCTTGCTAATTTTTTTAAATAATTATTAATTTATTATTATATTAATTTTATTTAAACGGATAAATATGTGATAAACAGTTTGACAGGTCTCACCTGAACACGACTCGTTTATTAAACGTGTTTGTCGTGTCAACCCGTTTATCATCCAAACCCGTTAAAATCTCACTCAAACCCGTTTAATTCGTGTCGATTCGTATCGGTTAATCGTGTCGTGTCAAATTTTGACAACCCTACTTAGCAGAGTTATTAATAAAAACTACACTTCAACTTAAAGGAAATACTATACCGAACATAATTTTGAAAGTAGCAATTATGTTTCTCATAGTCTCAATGGCTATGCGAACTCAATGACACGGGTTTCAAGCCACACTATGTACCCATTTCCCCCCAAAAGCACTTGGTGCCCCCAATTTGGATTGTGCCAAAATCAACCTATCTGAACCTAGCCACTAGCTGGCCTTCGATGTTGATTTATGCTTGCTGCTTGTTTTTAGTGTTTTTAGTCATAGAGTTTTTTTTTATATCTGTTACTTCTATTATGCATTATATTGGTGTTATTCAATGCAATGATTAAAATTTTGTTTCAAAATGTCTTAAATGGTTTCATTTTCAAGACGACTAAAACGAATCAGTGATGAAATTGAAATTCTAATATTTCGAGGTGTTTAGTAATATTTCGATGTGTTTGGTAATATTTTAATATTTGTACAATTATTTTGAAATATTTCAAGATATTTGGTATATTTCGACAAATGTATTGAAAAAATAATTTTTAAATTTTTTATTTTTTTATTCTATTTTCGAAACGGGTTAAAATATTTTTAAAATATGTCAAAATATTTCTATTTTTTAGGTGTCTGAAATAATGCACCGAAACAAAATTTTAATCATTATTTCGGTGACAAACTGCACAAGAAATCAGAAATAAGCATGACTTTTGAGACTTTGTGCTTAAACAAAGTGGTGCGGAAAAGTGCGTAGTTCATTAGTACTGATTGATTTATTTTCTTTTTTATTTTTATTTTTATTTTTATTTTTTTTGCCCTTTGAATTGTGGATTAAACCCAATTTCGAGCTGGAGTATACTAGTGGTTAGTTTGTGTTTGCACTTATTAACAAAAAATATCACTACGCTATACTTTCACTAATTTTCCTAAAAAAAAATTTCTTCCAATGCTTAGACCCAATGTTAATTTGATTGTCACAATAGCATTAACTCCACAAATTGGGTGGATCCAAATTAAATCTAAAAAAAGGTTAATCGATTTAACTTTCATACGACATTCTTTTTAAAATAATTATTTAAATTCACTCAAATTGCATGCCGATTATTTGACATATCGCATGCCAATGTCCAAACATTTTTCAAGTCAAAACTGTCACAACGACCTCCTACAAGTCTGACAAGGAATAGGGTTTCCCTCTTTAGGAGGAGAAGAAGTCTTGTACATGAAGGAACCGTGGTGTATATTTACCCGTCCCCTACAAGTCCATAACAATAAGACATTACTCCTCAACCATTAGTCTTCCATATCTCCTCTAGGTTTGTGTCTTCATTAATACTTCATCACTTTCTCGAGATTGCTTGTATTAAAGGTATCTAATCCGCTTCCATAACTGCATTGAGATGTTTCAAACACTTTTTTTTTGCCGATTTAATCTTTAATTTTTCAATTGATTTTTTTGCAGTTTTTTTTCAAGTGATTCTAATTTTCTGTTTCTAGTGTACCAACCAAAGTAGGATGGCCTTTTCATTTTCAGGTTGGGCAGGGCTTCCGAAAGACATTCTTGCATCAATTTTGGACCTCATGGTCCAATTTTCTGACCATTTTTGATTTTGCTCAGTTTGCAAGTCATGGCTTTCAGTAGCATTGGAGGACACTGACTACCATCATCTTCAGATGCAAAGGTTGGGTATCCTTAAAGCATGTCGCAGTCGGCTGCCTATGTTGATGATCCCTCTAACAGATAACAACAAAGAAAAACAAAGTTTTTATAGTGTCACCGATGGAGTAATTCATGATCTTCAATTTCCAATGCCTTATAATAGGCGGTGTTTTGGTTCTTCGCATGGGTGGTTATTCACCATAGAAAAACCTAAGCTCTCTCAAGCCCTCTCAATAGGAAAACCATCTTTCTACCAGCATTCAAAGATCCATCAAACAATTACCAGTATTGGGTAGATGACAGTGCCTTAGACCAGTTTTTTAAAGAGTATTTATACCTGAGTTTGCAATGATAACAGTGCCTTTGAGTCTCATCATAGAATTTAATGATCTGCACTCATATCTTACCATAATAAGTGTTATCCCATCAAATCTTGGTGAGTGAACCTTTGCTTAGGAACCGCTGAGCATTCATGGCCCATCCACCGGTCATTAAATACCTGCTCTCGGTGCTGACACCTACGTCCGAGCGTTCACTAGTCAAGAGCAAGCACCCTCGAGGTTAACCAAGGACTTCATATAGGCGTAACAGTCATTAATGTCTTGTAATGATGACTGTTTCACATTTTTTGAAGATTTGAACACTTATTAATGGCTCTGTTAAGCCACTCGAGACCTCATTAATGAATTGTCAAATCCTTTTTAATGCTAGGCTATGAGGGCCATACTCGGCCCTTCCTAACATAACTCCTAGGCACCTTTCCCAAGTGCCTTTCGCATGCCTTAACAGATGTAACTACCCACGTGTCTATTCATTATTGTCAAGCTACCTAAAGTCCCTTCAATTAACAACTTCAAAAACTATATTAGAATGATAATTTAAAACAACAGCACTCAAAATTGGCCCTCATGTTGTTCCACTCCTCCTCTCGGTTGGTTCTCTCCTTACTGTTGGTTTTCACCGTCTATATCACAACACAATAAAACGAGTAGAGGCGTTCATGGACTGGGTTACTCACGGGTTCCGTTACGCAGTCCAAACAAAATAAGTCTGAAATTCGATAGGTCCGATAGTTGACTTGCCTGAGCCCAATATTCTTTAAGAAAGGGCTTGTGTTTACCCGAAGCCTGAAGCTCAATAACCCATCCACAAAAACCTGTTAAAACCCGCCTGCCTAGCCCAAACAATTTTTTTTGCAGAATTTATGAGGCTCCTATCAAACTTTGACAGTTAGGTGAGAATCCTGTCAAAAGTTATTTTTGAAGTTATAATTAGTTACAAATTTATCGTTTTCAAGAAACAAATTTTACCATTATTTTAGATAATGCAACAAACCATCATTTAAAATGTTATTTAACTTTTTCATGTGAAGGTACTTTTTTTCATATGAAATGTATGTGTTATATCATAAATCTCATAGTACAAAGTGGTCTCTATGATATTAGATTTGTAATTGATAAAATTAGACATTATTTATCATATAATATGTTCTAAAAATAGACTTAGCACATTTGGAACTATGTGTAAAAAGAATAATTTAAATTGCAAAAAATTATCATATGATCTACAACATCATATGGTAAACCCGCCCAACAGGCCCAACAAAGCCCGCTCAACAAGC